ACAGTGGTATATGCCTGTAATACTAGCACTTAGGAGGCTGAAGCAGGAAGACTGAAATTTTGGGCAACTTCAAGACCATGACTCCAAACAAAAATAAGGGTTGGGGATCTATAGCTCAGCATGAAGGCTTTAGTTTCAATCCCCTGTACTACACACACACACACACACACACACACACACACACACACACACACAGAGAGAGAAAGAGGGGGGGCAGGCTAGGGATATAGCTTAGTGTGAAGGCCTGGGTTCAATCCTTATGCATACAATAATTATGATAAAATAATAGCAACAAATAAAATAAAGCTGCATCAGCCCCATAACAGGAGACCAGCGCCCTGGGGCAGCAAGGCTTAGTCAGCACCGCATTGCCCTCATCTAAGGGCCCTAATTTGTCCAGCTTAGTTAGAAAGGCAGGTGATGACCCCTAGGCCAGCCATGACATCAGAAGGGGTGGCTCAAGATTCTGTTTTGCTGTTTCTCAGCCTGGAGGGAGGCTGGCCATACACTAGCACCAGGCAGGGAGAAAGCTGAGTATCACAAAGACAAGGTACCCAAACGCAGGAATCAGGGCAAACTGCCAGGTAAGATTCCCTGAACCCAGGTTGAGGCATCCCCACCTGGCTGCTCAAACAGCCAACATGTAAACTGCTGCTTCAAGTTCCATGGCTCTGCTTTTCTTGGTACCACTTACCACACAAGAGGAGCCATGGCAGGAGAGGCACTCACATGTTCCCATCTTGTTCTCCCTGGCCCTGTGTGAGACCACTGTAGCCTCTTTCACACATTCAGTTGTTGCCCTCCTACGTGAACAACCTCAGCAAAGTGAACCACAGAGGTTCTCAAAATAAAATGCTCACATATAGAAATAAAACCCTTGGGATCCAAATGCACAAAACTTTCTGCTAAAAAAACTCAGGAAGGAACACAGCCTGCCCAAACCCCCTCACCCTACCAAGCTGAAGCTAACACAAGAGTGTGTGTGCTACAAAAGGGCTTTCTTCAGTTCTAGATTGGTCAGTTTTTGTTGAGTACTTTGTCATCTGCAAGCTACCAGCCACCGGCTCAAGCATGGAAATCAGGACTCAAGGCTGAGCTACCAGAACTGCGCTGGGGGTTCTGAGATCCTCAGACCCTGCTTACAGCTGAACTACAGAGACCCTTGAGGCTGGACTCTGAGGCACCTGATCCTCTGTGGAGGGACAAGAGAAGTGTCCTGACAGATTCAGGAAAGGAAAATCTGAAGAATGTCCACAAGCCAGTCCTGTCTGTGGTAGGGAATAGGGAGGAGTCATTATATGTCCTATGTTTATGGAGTTTGCACATCACCTTAATTATGCATCATGAAAAAGGAAATTAAGTTTTTCAAAGTGATATTGTAAGGGAAACAGAAACATACTTAAGATTTCATTTTTTAATTCCCAAGTCCAACATTTAATGTGAAATACTATTTCTACAGGGAAAGAAGCATACAAGAAGAGTACTCTTGTTTTTTAGCACTAAATTTCTTGTTTGCCAAGTAGCAGCAGGAGCAGCCTCAGCCCTGATAGGCTGAGGGCCCCGCTGGCGGCAGGACAGGAAGCACCAAGTCCTCCACTGGGCCCAAAAAGAGGATGAAAGGAGTTGAATGGGAGTAGGTCCTGGCCCAAGAACAGACCTTTTAGCACCTCCTTCCTCAGCGAACTCTATAGTCTCCACACCACTGCCTCTTCAAGAGTGCAAAGGGCTCCAGAAAGCCCCAGATCTAGCTGCATTTCCCTTCAAGGGGAATTGGGAAGTGGATGGGATAGGGCAAGGGGCGTTAAGTCTAATAGGGTTCAACTTGCCTGAGTGTCTAATTCCAAAGGGCAACTTTTTCAAGGAAAGTGGAGGAGAGTGCAAGGAGGAAATCCTTTTGCAATGAAGCATGCTTGCTCCCAGAGGGTCAGGAAACCACAATGTCTGTCTATAACCAGTGAAGTTACATTATGACATTTCCAAACAGCAGCTATCGACCTGTTTTCTTCCAGATATCCTCAAATCCTTCCAGGCACATCCTCCAGCTCGGTCACCAGGGAGGTAGGAATAACAGTTCTCGAAGGTTCTTTGGCCTCAGTTGAGACACTGGGTATGGGAAGCAGAAATGTGATGTACATTTGCCAGGACAGGCAGGCAAGAATGAGGCATTTGCCCACTGGTCTTTCAACATGTAGACTTCAGTGAGCCCATCTGGTGCCCCATGAATCCCTGAAAAAATGACAGCTACACTGCAGCTCCCACAGAAAAGTACAAAGGTACAACCAGATTGCCTAGGGCAGTGGCAGTGAACCTATGGCACATGTGCTGCAGAGGGCTGTTTGTATAAAGAAAGTTCTAAAAGGTCTGCCATCACTGGCCTTTTCGCTTATTTGGGGCCCCCACACTGTCCCAGCCTGGGTCTCTGCAGAGATACCATTCACCATGAGGTTTCTATCCAGCCATGCCTGGATGCACAAAGTAACAAGTCCAATCTCAACCCACAGTCTTCTCCTTCCAGTGACACTTGTGCAAGGGCAACAGGTCAGCAAGCCTCCTCTTTACTCTTGACTCAGAAACAAGGTTAGGCTTTTTCTCCCACAAAAAGCTTTGGAGCTACCTTTCTGGACTGCCTCAGGAGCTTCCCTCAGAATTCAGAACCCGAACAGAAGCAAGCCTCTGCCCTCTAAACCCAGAAAGGGAGATGTGGAGAGTGCAAGTGCTGCCAATAGACCCCCTGGGCTGGGGGACAGGATAACATTTAAGCTGGACATAGGCCTTCTGGGCTTTTTTTTTTTTTTTTTTTTTTTTTTTGAAAGCAGAGGATGAAGGTCAAATGGCTCCACACAGCTGGGGCACAATGGGAAGACTGGAAGAGCTCGAGAAGAGGAGGCAGTCAGAAGGTAGAGCCTATATCCATGCTGAGCAGTTGGGAAAAAAGTGAGTGCTTTAGGATAGAGAAACTGAACCACATTCTACTTCAGGATGCTCTTGCTCAAGAACTGTAACAGGCATGGATAGGAATCAGAGGCTCAGGCCAGTGAGGAAGTGTGGCAGTCCAGAAGAAAGGAGAACCCACTTAAAGGTCCCAGGGATACAGTGTCCTTCCTCTGCATGTGGGCTGACAAGACTGATCAAACCACAGCTATGCACCCCCCTCCATTATTTCAGTCTCACAGTCTAACATGAATGTGGATGTGACAAGTCACTGATGTTCCTGGATTGGTACAGATACAATTTTCAGAGTCCAAATTGCTTTCACTTAACAGTTCACCTTCTGAGTACCTGTTCACACCTGTCACACAGACGGCCTGAGCATTAGGCCAGGAGCTGCTCTGCCCCAAATAGCAATGTGGACAGCTGCCTTCCTTCTGGCTCTTTCCCAACCAGCTCATTAACAGCAAGTTGTTTCGACAGGTTTTCAGGGCAGCAGAACCCTTCTTTCCAACCACCACTTATGAGATAGTACAGTAAGGTAGTCAAAGGCAGCCCTGTGAGTCAGAAACCTGCCCTGATTTCCTTATCTATAAGAGGGCGATTACCAGAGTACCAAAGTCTGGGACAGACAGAGCAAGAAAGGAGCCAAGAGGACTCGGTATAGGCATGGCCCGATGTGCAGGAGCTTCAGCCCATGTCAACAGAGGCACTGCAACCTTTCCTATAAGGCTTCCACACAGATGCAGGCTCAGGGGCCAGCCTCTTACTGCTCTGAGACCATACTTATTGGAAGGTCCTTGTAAGTCCCTGCAAAGTCTGTAGGCTCTGAGCCTTTTGTCCAGCAGAGCTTAAACCTGCCTTCCTCAAGAGCTGGAGGCCACTAAATTGTCTGCCATACAAGGACCTCCAGGGATTCTCAGTTTTAGGAACAGAGTGGGGACAACCTCATTGGAAGCTCCGCTATAAGGCTGAGCTGGCATCCTGTAAGATCCACTTTCCTGCCAAGTGACAAGCCCATGGCTTTCTGTGTCCACTGAAGAGCAAGGAAACACCATCTCTTGTCTCTCTTCCCATTTGAGAAAGTCACTCAGAACTGGATAGGTAAAACTACTCCATCCTTCAGCCTGCTTTGCTCCTGTGACTCAGTGGGCAGGGGGACCCCAAGATGGGGAGCATAAGCTCTACTCCCAAACAAATTAATGTTGTTCTTGCTGCTCACTTCCCTGAGTTGCAAGATATCTAACACCTATGCCTCACAGTTGCTTTTGGGGGTTCTGGTACCTGTGGTGTAGTAATAAGCTTTAGGAACTAAGGGGACTGAACACCAACCCAGCAGGGTACACTGAGTGTTCTACAGAGATCTCCATGGTCAGGACCGGAAGGGCACCTTCTTTAGCTAGCAGGAAACACTGGTTGTCAGGAACCAGCCTCTATAACTTCCCCACCCGCTGGGAGGAACTGGGAAGAGGAAGTGTGGGCTGGCTAGGGTACAAATAAATGATGTCCACTGCCCTTTGCACATCACTCTTTGGGTCCCAGGCAGCTACCAGTAACTGTGGAGGGTCCTCTTCAACACATGCCCTCGTGCAATGGATCAGCGCTTCCCTTGGGAAAAGAGGGCACTCAAGGACAGGGAGGGAGGAAGACTGCCACCTGTGTCCTGGTACCTGAATTGGCTCAGAGTGACCCATAGGACCAAGCCCCAATAGCATGCAGAGCCTTCATCATGCCATTGTCATTTTAGGGTCTAGGCCCCTATTCCCTGGCTGAGCCTCCCAGATCCCTGGCCACTACCCCCCAAGCCTAACACCCCAGTCCGAGGCCGCTGTCCACCAGGCTAAGTTCCCTGGTACCGGTTCCCTTCCCCTAGGCCGAGGCACCCAGCCTGACACCCCTGCTTTACCGTCCCGGGCCGCTGTCCCCCAGGCCGAGTTTCCTGGGTTGCTGCCACCCAGGCCAAACCCTTCGGTCCGGGGCTGCTACTACCCAGGCCGAGGCTGACCGGTCCTGGGCCTCCGTCCCCGAGACGGAGTTCCGTGGGCCCTGGGCCACTCCTTCGTGGGACTCACCTCTGAGAGCTGCGGCGCCTTCTTAGCACCCGCGGCTGAGCGGCGCCTCCGTTGGCTGATCCCCAACTTTAACGAGTGCGGTGCGGCCTCACTCGGCCCCGGCCGTGTTGCCTGGACCAGCACACGCCTCAGCCGCGGAGCACCCGGGCCAGCCTTCTTACGCCGCCTCCGTAGAGCCCGCCCGGCACGACTCGCTTTACGCCATCTTCGTAGCGTGGCGCCAGGCCGGGTCTCGCGTTTACAGTGCGTCAGCAGCGCACGCGGCGCTGGTAATTGTGTCCGGACTACGACTCCCACAGGCTATGTGTCAACGCGCGAAGCATAATGGGAGTTGTAGTCTCTTGGTGATGCCAGCATTGGGCCTTCGCCCCTCCTTCTGTTGGAGACGCGCCGGGTTTTAGCACACAGCGCGGGGCAGAGAAGGGACTGGACTACAGCTACCAAAGTGCCTTGCGAGGGAGACAAGGGACGGGCTCTCAGAGGATCTTGCTGGGTCTGGGGTACGGTCCAGTTCATTCTAAGGCGGGGCTAGGGGTCCTGATGCTCTTGGACCGGTTTGGGGGTTGGGAGTTCAAGCTGCGGAGGCGTCAAGGCCATCCCCTGTCAGCTCCTGGAGCCTCCTGGGCCCAGCTGTCAGAAGCAGCAGTCAAGAACATCGGGCTGAGTCGGAGGTACGACCTCACTCTTGGACATACATTACTTATTCGAGCCTATTTGCTTGGCTCAAGGGAATCTGCCTTTAAACTGGGCCACCACCCTCCCGCACCCCTCTGAGCAACCCCTTCAGGAAAGAGCCCCATAGGTTTAGTGCTCCTTTAGGGCCATTTGGTCACTCGTAACACCCAGAACTTTTTTTTTTTTTTGCAGTACCGCGGATTGAGCTCAGGACCCTGTGCTTGCCAGGGAAGCGCTTATTCTACTGAGCGCTCTCTCCGACCCTAGGACTTTTATTTTTTTGAAATTTAAAATAAAAAAATCTTTTATTTGGTACGGGGTCTGGTTCGCTATGCAGCTCTGCTGAGCCTCCTGTCTCAACCTCCCCAGCGGTGGGATTACAGGTGTGCCACCTTTCAGCCAGCACGGTTGAGCTCGGGCTCCAGGCCCACACGTTATGTTACCGGGGATCGACCCTCGGTCCCTGTGCTTACCAGGGGCAGGTTCTTAGACCGCTGTGCTATCTCCCCAGTCCTCACCCAGGACTTTTAAAGTCCACTTCAGGCTGGTCTGTTTTCAGAGCAGGGGAGATGCCCAAGTATCCTGGAAGCAAAAGCTGTACTGATAAAGGGATCTGAGGGCAGCTGGGCCTTTGAGGCTACCATATGGGAAAGGGGCATCAAACCAGAAAAAAGTAAGGCCGTTTTGGAGAATCAGGAGACACCAGATCTGTGATAAGATACACATGATTTTTTTTTAAGTGAGTGAAGTTTACTCTAGGGCTCAGGAAAATCTGCACCCATCGCAATAGTCCCTCTAGGGTCAGGGCCATGCACTTTAGCTAGCCGAAGATGAACCACTGTCTCAATGCAGATCCCACTTTTAATCGTCAGGTCGAAAGATGGTTGTTTTGAGACAGGGCCTCACTATATAGCCCAGCCTGGCCTTGAACTTGCAGCAATCCTCTTGCCTCAGGCTCTTCAGTGCTGGAATTACAGTTATGCACCATCATGCCTGGCTCAGAAGCTGGCTAGGTACTCCTAGGTGGCAGGACTTTCCTTGCTCTGTTAACATCCATCTCAAGCCTACTCATCCTCTGGAGACAGGGACAGGAAGTACATCCCTTCCAATCCAGCAGGCTATCTGGAGGACATTAAGGACTGCAGAGAGGGCTCTGCTCTTTGCAACCTGGGCAACCTCTGGCCAATGTGCCTTTCACGTAAGAGGACATTGAGAGTGGACTTGCAGTGGTCAAAGGTCCTCTTCTCTCTCCAGCCTTCACAGGGCACCACCTGGAGTGCTTGAGATCAGAATTGGTATTGCTTCCTGGAGATGAGAGTAGCACACAGCTCTGTGATCTGTCTGCCAGAGAAACAGCCAAAATTGGGCCTGTGGCTTCTGTTAGCTTGCTGCAGGTGACCAACTCTGCTGCCCGTGAGGGGGCCAGGGCAGGAACAAGACCTGCCGTTGTAGGAGAAGCAAAAGAGGGCCTAAGGAGGAATCTTAGGATTGTTGAGGCATTTGCTGAGGGAGCTGAGATGGGCAAGATAAAGAACACAGGTCTCTCCTGCATCTCAAGTCACCTTGTGGTCATCCTGAATGTTCTGATGCATTGCATAGCAGAGAAAGACTTTGGGTTATCGACTTTTTTTTTTTTTTTCTAAACCAGGAATCAAACTCAGGGCCTCACACTTGCCAGACAGATGATGTGCCAGTGAGCTCCATCCCTGGCTTTGGTTTACTGACTGAACCCTGCTCCATGCCAGTGTGGTCCTGGTCAAAGGACACAACTCTGATGTGTAGACACATCCAAGTCAATGTCACAAGACAGCACAGAGCCCTACAGGGTCACCAGCCCAGTCCTTGAGCCAATTTGGGACCCAACCTGTTCTAGGCTTTGGGCCCACAAGAGTAATAAGACTAGAGGCAGTCAAGATCCTCACGGATGTGCACTTGAGACACTTGGAATGGGCTTAAGAGATGGGCAGGGCAGCTGCTCTGATCCAAAGTTCAGACTTTACAAATGACTCTGACCATCTGCCTTGTCAGCCACACACACCTGAGTCTGAATAATCAGTGAGCTGACAGGTTAACAAGTAAATGGGTAAGGTTCCCGGTTGAAGTTCTAGTCCTTTAGGCCTCCACTAGCAAGTGGAGGGACCTATGCTCTCTGAGCAGCTGCCTTTAAGGTCTAGCTAGATGAGGTAACTTTTTAGCCTCACTGCCAATAGGCTTTCATCCAGAGTAGAGGCAAAACTACTGCTCCTGCTTGCTAAGCCCAAGCTTTATACATGCTGTTTTATCAGGCAGAATTAAGACGTGAAAGGTTCAAGCAGCAATGCTGTACCAAGTTTGGGGCCAACTATGGAAATAGGACCCACCTTGGGAGGGGCAGGTCTACTGGATGCAGGTGCCAGTGTTTGCAAGCCCTGTGGCCAACTGACTGCAGTGGGGTGGAGGTGAGGGGCTGGAGGGTCACCACCAAGGAGGGACTTACTGGGATCTCCAGTTTTTCTCTGGGAATGTCCCACTACAAGCAGCTCAGGCAGCCCTTCCCAGGACAATGGGTTCTCATTTTGTCCTTCCTTATCCCTACATTATCTCCTAAATGGGGGACTGTGTCTTCCTTGGGAAGAAGACTCTAGGGCCAGGCAGTGATCTCAGCATCTGCTGATGGGACTGACTGGATTGTGGGCAGGCTTTATGAACTTGTGATTCAGGAGTAGATAGGCAGGTCATGGTGGAAAGAACCCCTCTGTACTTCTAGATTTTCCTAGGCAAATACGCCCTGCTGGCACCACGAAGAGGCCCAGAGAGAGAGTCTGGGTAGACAGGAGGGCAAGCTATACCCCCCCACACAGAAACTCAGGACCAGACTTGTTCATGCCCCCAGACTTTCCGTTCAGCTCTACTCACCAAGTGTCCAGGGCTCCTGGGCAAGGCCCTGGGAAATGCAGTGTTTGTGCTGCCACTGCCTAAGGACAAGACCTTGAGCCAAAGCAGGCTGTTGCCCCTCCTGTTATCAACTCTAGGCAGCATCTGGGGCGGGACAGCCAACAGATATGCGTTCCCTTCGACTGAGGCTAACCAGCAGCCAAGCAGTGCAGTGTGAGTTATGGGAGCACTATAGGTTTTTCTCATCTGGGGTTACCTGAGTTGGGTATGTGTCCTAAAAAACTGATGTTCAAGTACTTTGGTCAATAATTTGCCCTTCCAATTAGACATGCTTTATTCCCCCCTCAGAACTTGGCATGATGTCTCTGTGATTACAAGGCTACCTCAATTCTTCAGCTGGCCATCAGCCCTTTTTGACTTTCAAGCCATCTATCTGTGGGCCTCTGCTTTCTGTGTATTGGCTGCTCCTGGAGGTACTGCCTCCCAGTACCCTGTACAGCTCCAACCTTTCCTTTCTGCCTAACAACATAGGATGTGTACCACAGAGGGCAGGGGCATTGTGCCCAAGACTGGTAGCACACACCCCCTTCCTCTGCTGGTGGCCCAGCCAGGTCATCAGTCCTGAGGCCTCAGGAAGGCGTCTGCTCTGACCAAGTCACAAAGCCAAGATGTTTTCCATGAGTCTAAGCTTAGAATCATGTTCCCAGACTTTTGGGGAAAGCAGGGACAAGATCCTGGGCATCCGACCCACCCAACCACCCTGTGGAGGAAGGAGTCAGCTTTTATGTATGTGGTAACAGCTTTAATCTGTGGTGGCCAACACATTAGGCAAAGACCCTGCTGGCCTTCCACCCTCCTGTGTCCCAGCAAGAGGAGTCATTGTGTAGGAGTTTAAGCAGGTGTCACGTGCAAGTTGGTCAGTGCTATGTTTCTCAGTGTCTCCTGGAAACTAGTGTTTACAGTCACAGCACTGCTGAGTGATCAGCAGGACAGGCCACAGCCCGTGTTGTAGGGCTGGGACCTGGGCACAGAAAGGCAGGGCTCCAGTATTTATATATTATACATATGTATATATATATATATATATATATTTCATGTGTATACACAGATAGTTTTTCTCTCTGGAAAGTATTAAAAAAATTGATCAACCTTCAATCTATAAAAAATACCTACTCTACATGATAGAAAAATCTCTCTTCCAACTTTACACTGATTTACACCCAAGGCTTTCCCCAGAATGTACAACAGGAGGCAACATCTTAAATTGTAGTGTAGAAGGGCCACGTGGAGGGATGCAGGGCAGCACACATACGCTCACACTTGTGCGCACACTCATGCACGCGCGCGTGCACACACACACACACACACACACACACACACACACACACTTACACACAGTGGGGTGGCCAGTCTTTGTGACGGGTCTTGGTCCACCTGGGAATACCCAGAAGGCTCCCAGGCTCAGGGAAGGCCCAGTAGCTATGAGGTGGCACTGCCCACTTGGGTGGGGCAGGCACTGTGCAGGAAGGCCACCCAGTACTCCTGTGCCCATAAAGAGCAACCCTGCCCACGCTGTTGCAGGATCTAACCCAGAGAACAAAACTTCAAGTCACACACCCAGAAGGAACCAGAAGAAAACATGGTTCCAGACACTCGGACTCTAGTCTGAGGATTATGGATTTCATCCAGGGCAGTGATAGTCTGCCTAGGAAAGGTGTGGACTCCAGGAGCCCAGAGCAGGTCATACCTACAGAGCAGTGGCCCCTGTAGTTAGAGGGCTCAGCAGTGTCCACCCCATTCAGTGAGCGAATTCCACACAGTCAAGAGCTCAAGTCCTGGTATCAGAGCAAAGGGTCCTAATGCACACCTACCACCCATAGAGCCCTTAAAATTACTAGAGTAAGAGTCAGGGCATAGGGTGGCAGTGACTTGAAGATCCCTGGTCCTGAAGCTAGACAAAGGTAGCCATTTGGGTGATGGCTTGAGCCACTCAGGGAGAGCTGGGGGCACATGGTTCCCAGCCAGACCTACATATACCAGCCTCCCTTCCTGACCTTCCAATACCCTCATGTCCTGTGGGAGAGTCCAGGATTTGGACACCATTCAGGAGTGGCTGGGTTGGGGTGGCACCATGTGAGGGCGCTTTGTGGGCAGTTGCAGCCCTGGTAGAGACCCGTTTTCTTCCTTTCTGCCTGAGAGGGCTGCATGGAGGGAAGAAGGGTCTGCTGCAAGGGAGTCAGAGGGCTCGCCTGGCCTGAGAAGCTGTCTTAAACTCTGTACACAGCTTAAGAGCCCATCCCTGATTAGCAGACATGGGGCACTATAGCCAGGCAACTTGGGGTGGGAAGGCCCTGCCACAATCTTTGCCTGCTGTGAACTCAGTCCCACAGGTTCCCCTTCTTCTTCCCTTCCCCACTCTCTAAGAGTCCTGCACGCCCTAGGTTTGGCAGGCTGAGAGCCTGCTGGTCTCAGCTCCTTATGGTGTGGCGGGGCACTCGGGATGCTGGTGGCGTCCTGAGCCAGCCCAGACTGGGCTCTGCTGCCCTACTTGACCTCCAGGATGGATGGGTTGGTCTCCATGATGGCCACGATGATTCTGTCAATGTAGTCCTGTAGGCGGAAGTTGATCTCCTCCTGCTTTTGGATGGCTTCCATGAGCTGTGGCAAGAGCAAGGGGTTGGTATTGGGCACAGAGACTGTGGGGCACAGACAGGAGGAGAACACTACCTCATCACGGGAGACTGAGCTGATCTCTGCAGCCAGAGACTCGGAGAAGGCTGTGGAGAATAGGCTTCTGGCACCTTGGATGCTGAGAGTGATGATCTGCCCATTCAGCTCATCGTTCTGCTCCTTCAGGCTGCGGTTGTCCTAGGGAACACAGGTGCATTACCATGCTGAGCCAGGACAATGAACCTGCAGCTCAGTTCCCCTCTCAAGCCAGCTCTTTACATCTAAAATGTCTCCCAAAAGACTTGTATTCATAGGTGAGTGTTCATAGGCTTTGGAGGAGGGCTGGGGAGATGGCTCAGTGGAGTAAGCACTTGCCTGGCAAGCGCCAGGGTCTGAGTTCAATCCCTGGTTCCGCCAAAAAATAAAAATAAATAGTGTTTCCATAGGCCTTGGAGGGTGATTGGATGGGGGTGCTATATTCATCTGTGTATTAATCTATTCATGAGTTTATGTGTTGTTAGGAAGTGGGGCCTGGTTGGAAGGATGGGTCACTGGAGGTCACTAGCCTGGCTCTTCCTTTCTCCCTTTACTTCCTAGTTGCTGTGGAGCAGCTTTTTTCTCAGCCCTTCCATCACGCTACTGCGTACTGGGGACAGCTAACCATGGACTGAATCCCCTGAAAATTGAGCTAAATTAAATCTCTTTTAAGCTGTGGGTGTTGGGTATTTTGTCCTAGTGTGGGGAATACTAGTATTCCAGCCTTGGGAAAGCTTCTGTGGGGCTAGACTGAGCCATACCTGCTTAAGCCTGCGGACCTCCTGCTCTAGCTCGCTCTCCCTGGTGCGGCTGTGGTATTCTTGCAATCCCATGCTGCTACTGCGGCCTCGCCTCTGCTCAGCCTCTAGCCGGAGGAGCTGCAGGTGCTCCAGCTGTTTACGGAGGTCCTCAATTAGCTGTGAAGGAAGCACAGGGCAAGCGCCTATTAGGTCAGCCTGGTCATGTTCTTCTGGGAGGTCACTAGTCCACAGTCTAGGAGGTAATCAAACACCAGCAGCCCTGCTGAGAACGATAGCTAAAAGTCTTTGTCTGGGACACAAAGGTTCCTTTGGTCTCCTCCAGGAGCAGGGTGCATGAGGCAAGGTATGGGAGTAGGAAAGGGACAGCTAGCCCTGCTCACCTCCTGGGTTGCCTCCTTGTCCCTCTGGAACTGGTGGCGCTCATGGCTCAGTCTATCCCCCATCTTCCTCTTGTTCTCCTGCTCCTCACTGAGCCGCAGTGTCAGCCCTTCAATCTCATCCAGCAGCTTCTGCTTCTCCTAAAAAAGTAAGACTTGTTTGAACATGGCACCTCCAGCCAGTGCTCGATTTTTCACTTTGTCCCTGAGACTACTGCCCAGTCTACTGACATTAACTGGGAGTGTGTCTAAGCCTTCCTGTTCAGGATACCCTGTCTCTTGGCCAAGGTGCACACAGGCCACAATGGCTATTTCTCAAAAGGGTGAGGCAAAAGTATAGGACCTGATATAGTGTCTGCATGCATTTCTTTTTTTTGGAGGTGGTGGTGGTGATAATACTGAGAATTGAATTCAGGACCTCACTTACCAGGCAAGTGCTACGCCACTGAGCTAAGCCCCTAGCTCCCTGTGTATATTTCTGCTCTGACACCTGTAGCTTACAAGAGCGAGAGCCCACATAGCTTTGGAACATCTTTTGGTTTCAGAGCTTCCCAGGGATACTTGATGAGGAAGGAGAGAAGAGGGACCTCTAGACATGTGGTCAGGACCTAGGGCCTATGTTGCTGCCTCTACTAAATATCTGCAGGAGCAAGCCAACTAGAGGCCACCATAGTCTGCTGTGCAAGGGACACTGTTCTCTGGATTTCACCATGGGGGTTCAATCTTAGTGTGGACCTATGGGCTCATGGATCGAGTCCACTGGAGGCTGAGGTGAGCCCAGTACCCTCTGACAAAGGGATGGCTCCTTCACACATGATTACAGCAGGGTCAGCTGCTGCTATCCTGTCCCCAGCTCTTTTGTAGGCTCCTTTACATCCTATACCCTGTCAGTATGAATAACAAAGGCACAAAAAAGCCCATGCATAGGATAGCTGGAGACTGATCCTAACCCACAGGTGGAAATGGTTTGGCCTTGCCCATCACAGCCTGCAGTTGCCATCTCACCTCTTCCAGGCGCTCGATGTTGGCCTTCAGACAGGGTGTGCAGGACCGTAGCTCGCTATTCTCCTCATCCAGCTGCTGCAGCCTGGGACATGAGAACAAGACTGGGACCTGCTCTCTCAAAAATGTGCCACTGCAGGGTAAGGAAGGCCTAGCATCTGGAGGAACCTTTCTGGGACCTGCTCTGGACCTAAGTACCCACACAGGTCTTCACCCTATATGAGTGCTCTAGCCCAAAGCTTTTCTATAACCCTTGCCAACAGTTAAATGCATTTGGAGTTAGGGGTACTTTAGGTTCACAGAACAGTTGCAGATAGTGTAATATCCCCAGGGCCTCCCTTATTTCCTTTCCCTCATGTCAGCACTGCTCATCACTATGGTGGATTCTTCGATCAAGCACACACCCAGGTAGGCCACACTATTAGCAAACTGCACATTGTGGATTTTCCACCAGGAATTCCACCAGGGACTCATATCAGCCTTTATGTCTCTTATGTTATCAGGTTTGTGGATCTCTCAGACTGTTCTACTTTGTGAACTTGGTATACAGCCAGTCCTAGTCATATGTCCTGAAGAGTGCCCCTCAGACAGGCTCTGTCAGATGTTTTCTCATGGTTAGATGAGGCAGTGGGTTTGGGGAAGACCCGACCTTGGTATAGGGCCTTCCTGTCACACCTTACCTGACATCCACTGGACTCACAGGTCACCTGGTTAAGCTGTATCTCCCAAGTATCCTCTCTGTCCAGTCACAGCTTCCTGGCTACCTTGCTGGATCTAGTCCAGTCCCTAGGGGAGGGAAAGCCTAGCTACCTCCTGGAGGGGTATCTACAGATATTTACTGGAATTTCTCTGAAGACTGTGGCTTCCCTATCTACTTACAGAAAACCTGTTACTGAGGACTACTGCGTAAGCAGTTACACAATGAATAATGCTCTCATGGGGCACTGTCCTGGGTTGGAACTGCCCTGGTGTTAGGAGTGCTTACAACTGGCCCTGATGTCCCTCTGATACAACCATCAATGTGTGTGGACATTCCAAGTATGTGATGACTTCCCTTTAGTGTGTTTATAAATATATCAAATATCTACATTGCCAGTTCCAAGTAAACACAAAAAATTCTGATTCTGTAAAATTCCCTTTGAAAAGTTGCTTTCTTTGAGACAGTCTTACTATCCTGCCCAGGATGCCCTCTAATTTCTTAACTCCTTCACTTAAGTGATCTTCCTGCCTCAGCCTTCTGAATAGCTGGGACTATAGGCGTCCCCCAACACATTTAGATGAGACAAATATGTGATGGGGGACATGAACTGGACAGTCTTGCAGAAGCAAGGGTCAGCCTCTAGACATAGGCCTCATGGCCTATATTTTTCTTAAGGAGAATTCTGAAGTTCTCTCCACTTGGGTTTCCCCTTTTTTCTAAAGTAAAACTTTTTACTACATGCTTCATCTTTTGGGACTCTCTTTGCCTACCTAGCTTGCAGGTTCTCAATCTCAATGCTCTTCTCTCGCTCCATCTTACACAGAAGTTCTTTCTGCTTTCTGGTCTCTTCTAATACCATTTCGTGGGCTCTCAGCTCCTGTTCCTTCAGCTGCTCCTCCAAGGCATTGGCTCTAAAGGCAAAGGGGAGAAGACAAGGTGTCTACTATGTCTACCAGGTACTGAAATGCTGCACTGAAACTGGCTGCTGCCCACTGTGGCCAGGTTGGCCTAGACATTACAGCTAGAGAGAATTCACAAAGCATTTCAGGTGCAAGGGCCACAGAACCCTGTAGAAAGTGAATGTGACAGCTAACTGCAGCAATCTTACAGTGTAGATAACTGATAAATGAATAACACCAGATCAAAATGGAACTTTCTGTCTCAGCTCAGGATACCACCCTCTCTGGAGACATAAGACACACAACACACCATGGAACCCAAGCCCTTCAGAAGCATGGCTAGCCCTCCAAGTTGGCAGCAGGAGCTGGTGACAGGTACATCCTCAATGGGAATCCTGGGGAGTGGATAGTGCCAAGCCAAAGCCTATATTCCACAGGACAAGTTGCTTCTGTAATGTTGCTATGATATGCAGTTTAGTCCAGAAGCTCTGACACTCACAGAGCTCCTGAACTGGAGAACAGTCAGGAACACCAGCCTGGTGCAGAGGGAGACACCGTGCTTCATGAGTGCTGGATCATCAAGGGACACTTGCTATCAGCACAAGGACATGTGGCCTTTGTCCAAAGCCATTCAGAGCCTTCTTTAACCACCTGCTCAGGTTGCTGGTGAGAAAAAAGGCTCAGAGTGGCCGAAGCAACCTGGTGAGCACAGCAGCTCCAAGCAAAGTACCTCTCCCATGAATTCCACAAGTACCTCTCCACTGCCCTGCCCCACCAGTGTAACTAAGATCCTCTATGCTGTGCAGGAGAAACATTACTAGGAACATATATATCTAGCTAGGGAACACAGCAAAGTGTGGATCAGAAAAAAACTTGTCCCTTCCTCTGTCCAAACCCAGCAGCACCTCCACCCAGGTGTGATTAGGCTATGGATCTTGTCTCCTTTACATAGTGTGGCTTTCTGCTACTGTGACTTCCACAGCCAGGACTCATCAAGGCTAAACTCTGATCCACACAGGTGTTTCCTGACCTGCTCCTCTGCTGTAGGGCTCTGTTCTCAACCCCAATGCCCTCTTATCATCTCCAAGGCCTTAGCATAATTTAAGCTCCCCATACCTCTGTTTTACTATCTGAAATGAAGATGGGTGTTTGCTTCTGGGGTGACAGTAAGGTGAGACCACAGATGAGATGTGCAAAGTGGAGCCACCATCTTGGAACAACATGCCCCCACCCACGATCAGTGCTATGAGGGAAGGGTTCTGAAACGGAACACAAGCTGAAGCCCCCAGTACTGTTAGTCAGCTATAGCTGGATGCTAGGCAGGTTCCCAAGTTCTCTAGAAACTTACCTAGTGAGACTCCATGTACAGGGATACCCACTGTAAACTGATGATTACATCTCTTCTTGGGTTTGTTTTGGTCCTGGGAATCAAACCCATGACCCAGCCTTCCATGCATGACTCCACCCACCGACCATGCCACAGTCCCTTCTGTGGCTTTAATCTGTCCTCCCCAATGGTCCCTAGCTGAGCTTTGTGTTGTGTGGACATTAGCAAGGGCTACCTTTCCCTTGCTCCTCTGGGGTCCTCTCTGTGTGTAGGTCCAGATACCTGCAAGGGAGAGTACTCAAATGAAGAGTCTCAGGTCAGCCTACCCAGGCAATACCTCAAAGGATGTGTAACTCCAGGTGAGCAGGACTCTCCTCACCTGTGTACCAACTGGAGGTTCTCCTGCCTCAGCCTGCTATGCTGCTCCCCTGCAGCCATGCTGTCCTTCTCCAGCTCTGACACCCGTCTCTCCAGGAAGACGACCTTGGTAATGAGACACAGCTTGAATATTGGGGAGGAGAGGCAGGAGGGTTCCACCCGCAGGGAGCCTCTGGGGGGGATGTATAGGACGCTACAGGTACATAGCTGAGCTGGGGCTGTATCTAACCTTGGCTGAAACTGCCCCAGGAATCCCCTTCAGCTTTCCACTGGGTCACTATGTTAACTCCAAAGGAAAGGGGGACATATTAAAGGAGGTTCTAAGGGCCCAAAAGCAGCATTCTGACTGCATCCAAGGCACTGAGGCTCACACTATGATACAAGCAGGGCCCCTGTTCTGTCCCACATAACCCAGGGAAGAGACATAGGCACCTGGGGACATAAGTGACAGAAAGGCCTATGTCTTAGTCTTCTTCACAGGGCTCATGTGAGAAGAGAGACAGCACAATGGTAGGAGGAGGAATGAAGGCAGAGAAAGAGAAGCATAGCCTAAGGCTGCAGAGTGCAGATGCAGAGATGCCATGGAAGTATAGTAAGGAAGGAAATACAGATGTATAGAAGGTGGCAGGAGAGAGGTGATGTGGGAGGGGGTGGATATGGGGTGCAGGATGATGTAAGAGAGATGCAGGACAGGAGGAGTAGAGATGGGGTATGAGAGGAAGGGATGGGGTACAGGAATAAGAGATATGGGAGGGTGGGAAAGATGGTGCAGGAGAGGAAGGAGATGGTACAGATAAGGCAGAGATGAGGTGCAAGAAGGGGTAGAGATAAGGTACGGGAGGGGGTAAAGGAAACAAAGTGAGGGAAAAATGGGGCATATGAGCAGACATAGGAGTATGGGGAAGCAAGTTTTGTTGTGCCTCTTCCCCAAGGCTCAAGCTGACCTTGAGAAGCAGGGGGTTTGACCTCTACAGTTCCATGCTCTGTCCATACTCTATCAAGCCCCTCAGGGAACAGCATGGTACTTGGTGTGGCTGGCCCTGTGGTCACTGTAGGCCAAATGCCCAGATCTTGCCTCATGGCCTCTGGTAAACTCAATCTCTGGGTATCCACACCACTGTCTCTTGGGCTCTCCTCTGTATGCACACAGGCACCCATGTAGTATCTGAAATCCCAACCCCCACTCTTTAGCTTTAGTTCTTTCTGCTGCTCTGTCCAGTCCCATAAAATTTTCCTCTTCATCCCATAGTCACTGCACTCTTGAGGGAACTTGCTGAAGAATGACAAGGCTGGATGGACCATCTAATTGCCCCTAGTGATGCCACTGCTAACTTCTGTTGGACTATCCAGACAGCATTCCCCAAGTGCCAGGATGAAGCCAGGTGTCCTTTCAGCCACTGAGCACCCATGAAGCACAAGACAGCACATGTGGGGACAGCCTCAGACTCTGCAGTTGGCTTATACTGCCCATAACCTGCTCCTGGCTTTTAGTCAGTGCCTACCTTGTCAGCAATGTCCTCCTCTGGGCCTTCCACAGGCTCTGATGGAGTGTCCTCCAGAGCCTCCATGGTCAGGGCTCCATGGTGCAGGTACCTGTGGAAAAGAATCAGCAGCAGAGGGAAGAAGGGGAAAAACCAAATGGCAAGTTCTCCCAACACCAGCACTGTCAAGTCCCTCTGAAAGACAGCAGCATGGCAGGCACAGGCTCTTGGCTCCCAAAACTGGTTTTCCTGATCAAGCACAGAACAAACAAGATTCCCGGGCCAATCACCTTTACAGAGAGGACAGGAGAAGACAGCACTACGGTTTCAGAGTCCTCCTGGCAGTCTTTGGAGCCCGAGAGAATATGACCTCTCTCCCTGCCAGCTATGCTTGGAGGAGGGCACTTTGTACTTAAGTGCAATAAAACATAACATTGTTCCTCACCAGGATAGGAAACTGACTGTGCTTTCACCAGAGACCTGTCAAACATTAATTCAGAAAAAAAAAAAAAATAATTCAGAATCTTGACTCCTGTATATGGCACCTACAGACCATTTTGACACTTGTGTCAAGTGCATACCCATGGGCAATAACTCCTTAAGATTTTGAGGAGAGGTGTGGACTTAGGGTCACACCATGTTCATAGACAAAGCCTGGCTCAGCCATGCTTGGAAGCACCCAGATGTGGATGTCCATCCCTGTAGCACCCAATGGACAAGGTGCTGCTAGCCGAGGGCTCTGGTACAACTGGTCCTGAGGGCCTGACACTGAGGCCTCATGCAGGATTCATTCCTCCCTCCCTTCAGAGCCTAGCAGGTACCACTGAGTACCTGCACATAGTTCTAGCTAATGTTTATTATGGTGGGTCTCCATCAAAAACACTACTTAACATAATTTTTTAAAAAGCTTTTTATTTATTTATCTGGTACAGGGTCTCACCACATAGCTCAGACTCCTAGTGAGCCATTTCCACCTCCACTGACAGGGGCGAAATAGATTCAGAAAGGTTTGAGTCACTGCCACCACAGAGCTACAGATGGCCACTGCCAAGTCCACCATTTACCCACAATGCATGTGCAAAAGACTGAGGACTACACAAAGTAAAATGTAACAGATGCCTTGTTTTCCAATACTCCTGACAGATTTAAGGGCAAATCAGCAGCAGATTAAATTTTGCAAAATAAATAAATAAAATTTGCATTTATACAGAGACATCAGGATATTGCAGAATAACCCTCTGCATTGTAAATCTTTACTACAAATACTGGCAAGTTGGGCTTTTTATTTTTATTTATTTATTTATTTTTTTATTACCAAAGGGTGTCTATAAAGGACAAATTTTTGGAGCATTATTTCACATGATGGAGCCCTTCCTCCAGCCAGCCTTCTGTTGGTGCTACGAGATTCCTCTCCAGCTTGTTAGAGCTCTCTTGCCCTGCTTTGGCAAGGTGTCTCCAGACACACAGTCCCATCAATAAATGGCCAGCCCCAGAGTCTGTTCAGACCCCATGTGTGGAAGATGAGGAGACAGCAAAGCTGTCAGTTCTACTTCTTACTGCCTGTTTGGGTGCAATGCTTTGTTGACAGTGAAAGGCCAGTTAAGCCGTGACAGACACTGAAACAGCAGCTTGGAGTCATGTCATATTCCCAAGAGTTTGATGCCCTTCTCAAAAGGGTGAAGGAAACAACAATCAGAGAAGGTAGAGTTTAGACTCTGACCTCTGCCTTCCCCAGACTCCAAGAGACCCACAAGAAGTTCCAGAATGAGAAGAGGAAAGCAGGGACATAAAGAAAGCAAGACAGCTCCAGAATTAGTGGATGCCAGTTTCCAGTTACAGTTATTTTTAATTTTGCTCATCATGAATAATGGTGGAAAAAAAAAAGACTCACAGACATCATAAAACTGCTAAACTTAAGAGACAAAGAAAACATATTAATAGCTTCTAGAAAGGGAAAAAGTCACATAGTAACAAAAATCAGCCAGGCGTGGTAGTACATACCTATAATCCCAACACTTGCGAGGCTAAGGCAGGATCACCACAAGTGAGGTGAGCCTAGGATACGTACTGAGTTCAAAGCCAGTCTGAACTACAGAGCAAGACTCTATCTCAAAATTCAAACAGAAAAACACAAAAATCAAAGACCATTAATTAAACATTTTACCAGCAACCCTAGTTAGTACCAGAAGGCATAAACAACACCTTCAAACATTCCCAGCATTCAATAGGCTGAAGCACTTTACACTTATGATAGGACAAGAGTAAAATAACTATAAGGTCTTGGGAATGTAAGCCTTGGTACCTCTTTTCTTAAGAAGCTACATAGATGTGCAAAATGGAAATAAATGGGAAAGAAAAGAGAAAGCTAGATGAACCAAACCCTGAAACAAACAAACTTGCAGGATGCAGGAGAGAACCACCCAAGATCACAGTGATGAATTCTAGAGACACTGTCTAAAAGGAATGGGGCTCAAAGGAAATGTTCCCAGGGGAGAATGGAATGGTTTCAACGGAGGGCTAGGCAGTGGGGGTCGGGTAGCAATTCAGAATACTAAGAAAAAAAGCTGAACATGGGGGTGGATGCCTGAAATGCCAGCACTCAGGAAGTTAAGGCTGAATTGCCACAAATTCAAGGGCAGCCTGGGCTACATAGTAAATTGAAGGCCAGTCAGCCTGAACTACAAGCTGAGATCCTGTCTCTGAAAAAACAAAAATAAATGAAGATGAAGCAAATAAAACCACATTGGCAACTCCAGCAACTGCTTGTCAAAAGGAGGACATACAGCAGGAACAGGGCCAAACCCTGGGAAGAACATCCTTGATTTCAGTGAAGACTGTCATGGAACTGGCCTAAGGGGTGATGTGCTGTCAACGTCACAGCAAGAACCAATAGCATCAAAGCTGAAAGCTAGTTTCTAGGACTCAAAGTAAGGCCAACCCTTCACTTTGGCTCTCCATCAGAACCACTGACCGGGAAGTATGCAGATTAGGCAGGAGGCCATTCACATCCAGCTATGAGCTAGCAGGCCCTGTGCTAGATCTCTCTCCTTATAGTGACTTACAGCAGATAGGGATACTGCAGCCCCCTCCCAGCCACTGCAGGACACACAGTAGTAGGGGATGTCAAAACTTCCCAGTCCCAGTCCAGGTCCAACCCACAGCCCTGGAAATTGCCCTCAAGTCACATCCTCTCAAATTACTTGTTTCCACCCCAAACCATGGAAAGTAATTTTTAAAAAGTTTTTTATGAATGACTTGGAGAAGAATGTTTTATAAAATGTTAAAAAAAAAAGCAAATATATTTCAGAACATTTTCAGCAAGTGATTAAAGCTCTGCCTACCTTGCCACCTTCCTGCTGGAGAGCCGCTTGGCTGGGCTGTGCAAAAAGCCAAACAAACAGGAAAATCATGTCAGGGAGCAGAGGGACAAGAGGAAACAGGAAGTTTGGGCTGAGGAGATAGTAGGGTGCAGGCATGCAGTCCCCTGGCCCACGCAAGCCCCATGCATAGAATACCCATTGAGCAAAGACAGGACTACAGTGCCGTCTGTCAAGATGTCAAGGTCTCTGCCAAGTCTCCTTATTCCATGCTCAAGGTCACTCAGATGAAGCAGACGAGATTGTACTCCAGAGTTGATACCAGGGCCTACACCAGGCCCTCTATAGGTCAGTGTCAAGTCTCAGATGTTTCTAAAGCCAAATTCGTCTCTGCCCCTGACTCACACCTAGCCACTGGACACCTCCAATGAAACATGACATAAGCCTATCAGGAAGGTCTACTGCAGTGTTTTTGTTTTGCTTTTTTTTGTACAGGGTCTCACTACACAGTTCAGACTTGTAGTGATCCTCCTGTTTTCAGCCTCCCCAGCAGCTGGAACTACAGACATACACCACCATATCCGGACTCCATCGCAGGCTCAGCATGCCCCAGCGCAGCATGTGGTACAGGGGATCGAACTCCAGTCCCTGTACTTGCATAAGCAGGCACTTAGTTCACTGAACTATCTCGCCGGCCCTTCTATTGCAGTTTTAAGGCAGGCACTGATACTTCACATTCCCAACAGCTGAAGTGCATTTAGAAGACCCTTCCTGAAGCCTTTCTAGGGTAAGTATGGTCAATTACACAGGGGGTATAGCCATCTGTGAGGGAAGAAGGGCCACATACACCTCCCCATTGGTCCCTTTTTTTTGGGAAGTGGGTGTTGTTTTGTTTTAGAGATAGGGTCTCAATAGGAAGTTCAGCCTGGCCTTGAACTCACAATGATCCTCCTGCCTCAGCTTCCTAAGTGTTGGAATGACAGGCATGTGCCACGATACATGGCCCACTCTTTTCTCATTTCCTTTTTGTCTGTGTGTGTGTGTGTGTGTGTGTGTGTGTGTGTGCGTGTGTTACCAGGAATTGAACTCAGGATCTGTGTATGCCAGTCAGAGGCTTACGCACTGAGCTGTCTACTGGCCCTTTTTTGTCTTTTTGAGACAGGGTTTCACTATGCAGTTAAGGCTGGCTCACTCTGTAGCTCAGGCTGGTCTCAAACTTGCAATGATCCTCCTGCCTCAGTCTCTTGCTGGGATCACAGGTGTGTGCCAGCACGCCCAGCTCTTCTCTCATTTCTAAGTGTTATTTCCCTGCTGCGCTATGAGCCTCAGGCTGAAGACAACTTATCTCCAAGCACAAGAACCACTTGCCAGGAACTCACTTGGCACTCAGCTCAGGTTCATTCTTCAGCTAGCTCCCTTTGGCAAAGTTCAAGTCCCAGACAGAAAGGCTATTTTTTTTCTTCTGTAATGTGACATTTTGTCAATAGAGGGCGCTAGAGAAACACAAGCTCCCCAAGTGCTCTGTGATGGTCTGTAGGCCAAGAGGCCGCCTCACTGCCAGGCATTATCCTCAGCAGCACTGGAGACCAACAACCACCCGTGATAGTGCTAGCTAGAGAGCCTCTGCCCAGACCCTTCCCAGAGAATAGCTTTCCAGCCAGCCAGAGGGCAATTTTCTATCAAGTTCTAAAAGGTGAACCTCTCACCAAGTCCTGAGGTCTGCAGTCACTTGTGGTCTGCAGTTCCTTGCGGGGCACAAACCATGCTCTGGGTGAGTACGGATCTCTCGGGGGCCTGGGCCTTAGTCCTGCTGATGGCTGCTCATCACTCCTGAATTCTTGCAGCTTGTGCCCTGTGCTCCAAGCTGACCTCGTCCTCTGCACATGTTTTCCCTTCTGGTGACTGTATAATGCTCTTTTCTAACAGGGTCCTGACTAGTCCTAGGTACCTTACTGCAACTGATCTCCACCTAGTCTCTCAGATGCTCCCTAGAGGAAGCTCAGACGGCTCAGCTCACCAGCTGAGCTTTCAGGGTCTCCATAGGGAATCGGCGACACCCTCATAAAATGAAAATATGTCCCTGAGTAAGGTTCTACAACACATTAAAACAACAACCAAAAAAAAAAACCAAAACCAAAAAAACTAAACAGGCACTCTTACATGCCTGGAAAAATACTATAGCTGACAATGTGTCCTGTGGTAACTGAGCAGATGTCATCTGTGACACTAGAACTCGAGCATGATTTGAGCTATATCCTTTCATCCTCAACGAAGTGTGAACAACTTACTCTAAGTATTTCGTGGAAGCTGGGCTTGGTGGCGCATTCCTGCAATCCCAGCACTCAGGATGCTGAGGCAGGAGGGCTGTTGAGTTTGAGACCAGCCTGAGCTACAAGGTGAGCTCAAGGCCAGCCTAAACTGAATAGCAAGACCCTTCTCAAAAGGACTAAAATAAAATAAAATTTAAAAAAGTAAGCATTTCATGGAGACCACAAAGCTTGATTCATTCCTTTCATGAGAACCAAAGGGACTTGGACTGGGCACCTTGGTTACACAGATGCCTACCCCAGAGAGTCCTGTCTAGGGAGAGGGGCAGGTAGGTTGACCTGAATCCTGTGGACTTGCTAGTGATGCAAAGTCATACCTAAGCCATTCTGTGACCCCTCAAGGATCAGCAGAGGTGAGGCAGGTTTTCAGCACAGGAAGAAATCACTCGTATGTTAAAATCTTCAGAGAGTGAGACAAGACCCGTGTCTCTTTTATGATAGGCCTATATTTATTCCATCATTGGCCAGAGGGCAAGCCTGGACAGGAAGGTCATGGCGCCCCCAGCCAGCCTCACCAAATGCTGGACACAGATGAATACACATAGCCTGTGTGGAATCACCAAGCATGAGGTGAAATCACCAAGCAGTATCCAAGGACACCTCCCAAAGGCACTCTGGCTTCTCACCAGGCTCCCTGGATGCCCAAGTGGATGACTTTCCTTACCTTCTGTACCTTACTGGTATTGCACAGTACACAGGAATAGTGAATATCATGTCAGGAGAGCTGTAGGCAGGACATCAGTGCACAAAGTCGTAGCCTCACAGGGAAGTACACAGAAGGGCAGATGCCACGGGAGGTCTGGACAGCCCCCCCCCCCCCCCCGTGTACTAAAACCCTCAAGACTGTACCCTCTTCTGTCATTTTTCCAAACCTTCCCATCAGCCTAATGGTTCTTCAGGAAACTGCCTAATTGCCACTCTGAGCCTCATAGCACTTGTGCCAGAACAAGCCTGTCTGGTCACTCACTTCCTCTGCATGGCTAGGTTGCTGTGGGAAGCTCTACAAGGGCCCATCTCTGACCCAGACCTGTCTTAGAACAGCCCATCCAGGAGGCTGTTCATACCCCACACTAAAACAACCAAACACTGGGGCATGTTAATGTGTTCAACAATCTGAAGATTTTTTTTTTTTTTTAAATTTATGTATTTGGTAAGGCACGCTTGGCAGGCCCCACCCAACCTTGGGATTGAACCCAGGGTCAATGCACTTGTTCAGGCAGGTGCTTAGACCACTGAACTATTTCCCTGGCCCCCAAAGATATTTTCTATGAATGTGTTTATGAAGTTGTAGAGAACCTGCAAAAGTTTTTCCTTGGAGCACTGACCTAGACTAGGGCAACAATATAGATAGAGAAAGCAAAGAGCTGAGATGTAACCACACCAGGAGAAAAAAAAAAAAGAATTAAGATACTACCGGCCAAGGGTAGCAGTAGGCACAGCATCTAGACCAGTGCTACAAAGCTGGGCTCCACTGCAACAGGGGTGACAAGTCCCTTATAGAGCTTAGGACCTTGAAACACGAACTTCAATTACAGTAGCTTTCTAGAAATAGCTTACAAATCTGGTTTTGAAGACCAATCTTTAAATTTTAAAATTTTACTTGGCATGGTAAGTTGAAGAAATCTTTTAGCAAAATTCAGGGAGTATCTTCTTTCACACCTGGGCTATTTCTTCTCTCAGAAAACTGCAGCTATTAAAACTGCCATGCTCATAGAGAAGACAGCGAGCAGCAAGCATAGCTCATGCATGCAGGGAAGGCTGAGCCCAAGAAGAGTCCCGCCCTCTAGGCACCTTCCTGTGGGTAGTTCCAATTGTGCATGGCAAGAAGTACCCATACTTGGTCAGACCTGAGTGACCAGAACATGGGTGCTTTGGGCCAGACCAGCAAAGAAGCTATCGAAGCAGGACTCTCCCTCACCCCTGGAACACAATGGAGTCAGGCACTATCAGTTACCTATTCATCTCAAGGTCATTCAGGCGGGCAGAGAGATCCTCAAGGCGGTTGATTTGTTTGTGGCACTGGCTACAGTAAAACTCAAAAGCCTCATCAGTGAGGATGCTGTGCAGCTTTGCAGCAAGCGGGTCGGAGCTAGAGAGACAGAAGTATCAGTTCAGGACAGGGAAGGCTCTGTCAGGTCATCTGTGACGCCACAGGAGACCTGAGGAGGACAGAGTAATTTGGAAGAGAATGAAGTATGGAACATTCAGGCTTTGATTTCTGGACATCTGTGAGCTCCTTCACCATCGCCATGAGAAGCCTGTTCACCCTGAGGAGACCAAGACACCCACCAGCTGCTGCAGTGTGCTGGGGCAGGGGTGGAGGTAGTATGTGGTTCTGCTGCTGCACACTCCTGCCCTCTTCTGGACAGTGCACAGAACAGGTACAGCCAAGAGTTTCATTGTAAAACAAGTCTTTAGCAGGAGGCAAACAAGTGCCCAGCTCTCTCCTCTGTGGAAAGCATATCAATATGACAGCAATATGTGTCTTTAGGTAAAATTTACTTGCTGTTCTATTTTAATAACTGCTCTAAAACCCACAATGTTGGGCTTGGGAGATAGTTCAGCAGTCTAAGAGCCTGCCTAGCAAGCAAAAGGACCAGAGTTCAATGCCTACTGGGGAGGCTCAAACAGGAGGATCACTATGAGTCTGAGCTGTGTAGCAAGACTCTGTATTAAATAAATAAATAAATCTTAAAACTCACCAATATCAAGAACTATGTGTGAATGGTGCTTTGCTAATAGTTTCATGCTTTTTAAAATATGTGCTGAAAACTCGAAATTTTATTTTCTGCTTGCACTACCTGACCATGCTGTGAGCGCATTTCAGGGGTATGTATGGAGGGCGTTGGTGTATCTGTTACCAGAAGTTGAGATGGAGGCAGCCTCATCCTGGGAGCAAGGCTCACAGGCTTTTGGAAACTATTCCATATATTAACTTTTTTTTCTCTTTTTTTGTTTTTTGAGACAGGGTCATGCTATATGGTTCAGACTGGCCTTGAACTTAATCAATATAACACCTAGGCTGGCCTCAAATTCCCAGAGATCCTTCTGCATCAGGCTCCCAAGTGCTGAGACTGAGGTGTGTGCCACCATGCCCAGTTCCACAAGTTAATTTAAAGGAAGGTGGAAAGGAAAAAACAAAATATAGCACAGAAGTTACACTTAAGACTGAAAACAGTGGACAGGCGACAGGAACAAACTATACCAACTGAAAGAGACTGCCATAGCAGTCTCAGAAATGTCAAGTTCTGCAGGAAAAGCCCACTGTCTTGCACTGCAGCTCCCTAGGACACACTCTGGGAAAGTGAGTACCTGGGGGCACCCTAGAGGACACAACCTTACAGATAATAGCAGCTTCAGTCTGTCCTCCCAGGTCTAGGCCACAGCAATAACTGGATAAGAAGCTAATGGCTCCTTGTTTAGAGACTGCTAGCCTCTGTTTGCAAAGGTGGGCAACTTGAGGAACCTAACAACAAAACGCCAGTATGGATGGGTCACCCAGCCAGGCCTGAGGCCTACTTAAGAGGCAGACCTGTCTTCTGATAGGCTGAGCACCAAGGAGGGGCTGCCCAGGCCCCATGTGGATTCATGCCATGGAGACTGAATTCTGCCACCATCTCAATGCAAAGCCCTGAGAAAAAGTGAGTGTTTGGGCCACTAGAGGGCATGGCTGAACTTATTCAAAGGCAGAACTTTATACAGAGCTTGGAGATGCCAGAAAATTATAAGGAAGTGAATCTAAAGACTTGCTTGTGACTTGAAAGCCTACCTCAAAGTCACCCATCAATCATAAAGTAATACATGACCAGCAGTTAAAGAACCCAAGGCCAAGTCCTACACATGGCTCCCAGCCTCATGGCGCAGGTGAGGCCTCCAGAGCTGGATGATCTGGGGTGACAGCTAGAGAAGGTGTGTGTTAGCCAAATCTCTAGCAGTTTGAGTGTGGTGTATTTAACCACATTGCATTGAATAAAGCAAGTTTTCTCTTAGCAGTTTATAAGCCAAAAAGAAAATCATCTGATAACTGAACATGGGAAGGAGAGAGATACAAGTCAGTACAGGAATGACTTACCTGGGGGTAAGAAAAGCAGGATCGCTGCACCCCAGCTCTCCATTGCAGAGGGTATCTGGGGACAGCTCCACCTCGCTGCCTTCCCCATAGTCCTCAAAATGCTCCTCGCCACCAATCACCATGACGACAGCCTGGCCACGGGTACGAGACCTGCAACAGCAACAGAGACTACTCTCACTCCAGGCCACAGGGAGAGGTGTGGACTGAGTGTGCTGCAAATCACAAGCCTGTGTGTGTAACACTGTCATACGAGCTATGCTGTTTTTTTTTTTAAAAAGTGTAAAACAGGTGAATCTGATTTTAATACTTAGCCCACACAAAAAAGTGCTGTTTCAAAGATGTGAGATTTTTCACATTTTCTTCCTTAGGAAGTGTGTACTGTACATTCCAGAACATCTCCATTTGCACAGGCCACAATGTCCATAGTCAGCAGTACACGGAAGTGGCGCTCAGGTCCGTGTAGAATTAGATGGTGACCAATAGGGTTCAAACTTCTGTTTTAATTTAAAATTTGTAAAAGCAGATTTCAATGGGGAAAAGAAGAGAACTTCTACACATCCATGTTATTGTATGCCTGAAGGGAAGGGTGACTCTTCTACACCAACTTTCTGGAAAAATGGAGCTAGTAGGCCTGGCTCTAAAATGCTCCAGAGCTCAGGAAACACCTGTGATTTTGGTAGCCACCTGTCAGAGGAAACCTGCAAAGATGACCCTGTGTTTGCTTCACTCAAGAGGAAAAGGCCCACAGCACAAAGCAGGTCAGAAGAGGGATATGCTGAGCCCAGAGCCCAGATGCTCAACAGGGGAGCAAGCGCCAGTTCACACACACTATCACACCACTGACTAGTACTGGAGCAGCTTAGGACAGATAAGCTCAGTGTCTGAACACACATGTTTTCAGCACAAAAGCTTTCCAGTCCCTTGCAAATATAAGCTGCCTGAGGTCATGTGAAACCTAAAACTATGAATTGGAAAATTCCAAAAAACCCCAATTCCTATGTTTTTAGTAACTTTTATTTTATTTTAGTAACTTTTATTATAGTATATTATAATTGTTCTATAGAGTAATTAATCTCAGTGTTCCTAATTTATAAACTAAACTTTATTTGTATTTGTATAAAAAAAGTGTAGGATTCAGTACATCTATTATCTTAGTTTTTCTCATTGTTGAGACAAAATACTCAAGACACTAAGAAAAGGAAGGGAATTTTTATTTAGCTCACAGTTTGTAAAGGTTTCAGTCCATAACAGTTCATGGCAATGGAAGAAACCAAAAGCAACAAGAGTAAAAAAGGTGTAACAAGCCTCTTTTCCTCCCTTACATTGTAGGTAGGTAAAATACCAGCCCAAGGGTGGGTGTAGCACTCACACTCCCTATCCCAGCGTTAGACAGTGAACCAATCATAAACTGTAGATTCAGCAACCTCCAAAAAGTCTGTCCCCATCACCACTTTGGGGGACAACCAAACACAAACCATAACATTTGTAGTTTCAGGTATCCCTGGGGGTCTGAGGACACATCCCTATTGGTAAGAGAGGGGCTCCTGTCGCCTGGTGTGCTCACAGACTTTACTCAAATAGGCTGAAATGGACATGGCACCACTACCTTACTGTTCTATTATTAGCTCTGACTCAGTCCTTACCTTCCAGTAATCAGACCCTCATTTTGCAGGAAGACAAGAAAAAACAATTTCCATCCTTCTTTCTTTCTTTCAGTCCATTTATTTACTTATTTATTTATTTATTAATTATTTGGTAAAGGGTCTCACTATGCAGCTCAGATTTGTAGTGATCCTCCTGTCTCAGCCTCCCCAGCGCTGGGATAACAGCATGCCCAGTTTCAGTGGCTGGCAGGGAGCAGAGGCCAGCATGGCATACAGTAACAGGGATCGAATCCAGGTCCTTGCACTTGCCAGGCAGGCACTTAGACTGCTAAGCTATCTCCCCAGCCCTCCATCCTATTTTCTATTTCTTATTATTAGGTAATTATTTTAACATATGCCAGATCCTATAAGAGAAAACAACTCCAACAGGGAAGGGGGAGACATCATCTAGAAAATACACAAAGGAAGCCCCTCCTACCACACCTGACATCCCTGCCCATGGGGTCAGAAAGGTCATAAGGGACCATCACTTCCCCATGCACCTGTCCCCAGTGTCTAATGGAAGCAGACATGGACCATCCCTTTTTTTTTTTTTTTTTTTTTTTTTTTTTTTTTGGGGGGGGAACCAGGGATTGAACTCAGGCCCTTGCACTTGCCAGGGAAGCGCTTATTCCACTGAGCCATCTCCCTGGCCCCCATCCTTATTTTCTGAGGACTAAGAGGTTCAGACCATTTGGTTGAGATGACCTTTACCTGGATGAACCAAACACATTTTCTTCATTAAGTCCACAAAAATAAAAAAGATGACAAATTCCTTGTCACTGTAAGTTTCTTAAGGCATTTGTCCCCCAAAAGATCTTTTTTTTTTAAACAGGGTCTAGCTGTGTAGTTCAGGTTGGCAGCATATGGTGGCACATGCCTGTAATCCCAGCACTTGGGAGACTGAGGTCAGCCTAAACTATACAATGCCTTTAAACAAACAAACAAACAAACAAAACTAGCGAGAAAATAAAAACTGTTTCAAACTGCCCTGGTATGTAGCCTGATAGGCTCAGATCCAGAGACTTCTCAAGAGCTGGCACTTGTTTAGTTGCTTGGCTCTAATAATAATAATAATAATAATAATAATAATAATAATACCAGTAATTGAATTCAGGATCTTGCACTTGCCAGGCAGGCACTGTGCCACTGAGCTACATCCCTGGCCCTCAAATTAAATTTTAACAAGAGTTTGCCTTAAGCTTTAAAAATACTTGGAAGAAAATCATGAGCAAACATAGTAAACCTCTTCCCTAGAATTTTACAATACTCCATGTTCCACCCTGCTCCAACGCTTCCCAAAGCATTCCTCATGTGCCAGTGTCACCTCATCCTCCATCTCCACATACACACAGTGCAGAGCCCCTGGCAGGTGTATTCCCAGGTGTCCACAGAGTAAGGTCTGTCTCAGCCCCACATGGATACACATGCCAACCATGTCCACAGACAATGACACCTCATGCAATATCAAACTGAAAACTCAAATAGAGATGCTATGCTCAAGAATTTGAACACTCAATATTGTGAAGATGCTGAATCTCTCTCTCTCCAAGTTAATCTATAGGACAACAAAATTCTAACCAAAATCCCAGCAGTTTCTTCTCTCTCAGAAACTACAAACTAGAGCTGGGCAAATAGCTCAGCAAATTAAAGCGCCTGCAAGCAGGTGCAGGAGCCAAGGGTTCGATCCATAGGCCTGCTGTGCTAGCCCTGCCCCCGGGGCACACTGAGATGACAATTGAGACTGGACATGGTGGCGCACACCTGTAATCCCAGCTTTTAGGAGGCTGTAAACAGGCAGATCACTATGAGTCCAATCTAGTAGTGAGACCCTGAATACCCTGTAGACCCTTCCCTAAAATACAACCCCCCCCCCAAAAAAAACCAAAACTACAAACTGATTCTAAAAACCACTTGGAAATGCAAAGAGCCAAAAAGGCACCAAGTAACCCTCAAGAATAAGCTGGGGAACTAATATCAGCAGACAGCATGATCTGTAATCATTCCAAGACAAAGGGACAGTATGGTGTTGACTCAAGAATGGACACTGTGCAGAAGAGGCTCACATACAGCTAGCCCACAGGAGCAATCACAACCACAAGAGAAGAGCAGAGAAGAATCTTTGAAAGTGGAGACCAAGTTTGTTAGGTACCATTTGGGAAAAATGAACCCTACTTCCATCATACACACAAAGAACCAGCTATAGCGCTTGCCTAGCATGTGCAAAACACTAGGTTCAATCTCTAGAACCATACAAGGGAGAAGAGAAAGGGAAGAGGTGGGAAGAAGAGGGAAGGGAGGGAGAAAATTATATAGAGATCATATATGTCTGAAACATGAAGGTAAAACAATGTTTGCAAATAAAGGCAGACATAAACATAACAGAACTATAAAATAGAAGATTTCCTTTTTTGTCTTGGTGGTACACACAAAAAATTGAATCCAGAGTCTCATGCATGTTAGTCTAGTGCTATTGCTGCACTGCATTCCCAGTCCAAGATTTCTTAAGTGGAACACAAAAATTCTAATCATAAGAGAAAAATGGAAAGGCCATATTAAAATAAAAAACATCTGCTCTATGAAGACACCAGCAGGAAAGTAAAACAGCCTGGAGAGTAGGAAAAGGTATCTGTAATACACACCCATTAAAGAGCTCACATCTGAAACATACAGAGTGCTACAAATCAGCAGAAAAGGAAAAACCATAGAGTGGGGCAGAACACACCCTGTCAGGACCTGCTTTTGCAGACAGTTGTTCTAGGGCACACATCCAGGCTTCTTAGTGACGTGTGGTCTGTGACTGCTTCTGTGTCTCAGTAGCAGAGCTTAACAGCTACCACAGAGACCACATGGTTATAAGCAGAAACAATGACAAACTGTCTAGCAGTTGACAGAAATCTGCAGACCTCTGAAAAAATAATGGGCACTTTACAGAAGAGGAGCACCCATGAAAAGGTGCTCAGCCTTGAAGCACCCGTGCTCCAGAGGCTGAGCATGGGCTAGCAGGGAAAACTGGGACTCCACAGGAATAGCAGGGTAAAGTCACTTTAATCTCTTTGCAGATGTTTGTAACTGCAAGAACAGTAGGCAATTTAAAGCTACAGGTACATGCTCCCAGTGATCACCATCCCACTCCCAGGGACAAGGTCCCAGGACATCTAGATGTTTATAGCAGTTATATTCTCAAAACTAAAAACAGGGTCAGGAGATAGCTCGGTTGTCTAAGCAACTGCCTGGCAAGCGTAAGGACCAGTGTTTGATCCCCTGGTACCAGCATGCCATGTTGGCCCCCATGCCAGGCGGGCCACAGAAACTGGGTGTGGCGGTGCATACCTGTAATCACAGCACTGGGGAGGCTGAGTCTGAGCTGCGTAGAGAGGCCCTGTACCAAATAATTACTTAATTAAAAAATATTTTAAAATATTTTTATATTTTAATTAAAAACAGTGAAGTACCTAAAATGTCCTTTGACACTGTAATAAAAAGTTGTAGCATATTAATACAATAGAATACCATAACAATAATAAATGATACACTACTATGCACAAAAATTAGAATGAATCTCATAGTCACAGCACCAAGAGAAAGAAACCAGGTGCTAAAAGGAAAGTTCTGTGTGCCTGCACTCATGTAAGATGGGAAACCAAGCAGAGCTTGCTACCCTGGGACCTCCAGTGCCTAAGGAGGCCCAAGGGCACCTTGGCGCAGATACAATTGTCTTGGTCTATGGCAGGCACACACTGTGCTCGAGTAATAGCTCGCTATTTACTTGTGCCATGGGCACCCAGATGCTTATAGATGTTTTATACACACTAGAGAGAAAATCAAAAACTGTGAGGGGAAACCTGAACAGGAATAATGAACAGGAATAGAAGAGGGAACACAAAATAAAAATACATCTAAGCCTGCTAAGCATAGCTGTTTCCTGTGCAGCTTGGGGTAAGACTGAACATGACCCTCTTCCATTCATCACTTCACCAAGCTCTCCGTAAGTCTTTAATACCAGGGCCAAAGATAACCTGGGAGGGGGACCAGACACTTGGTCTAGACAAGGTGCCATGAAGACATTCGCTGAATGGTGTATCCTCCAGCCCTGGCTTTAAGACTTGTGCTGACAAAATCCAGAAGACATACTCAGTTAAAGATTTCCTCATCTTAGGGCTGGGGAGATAGCTCAGTAGAGTAAGTGCTTGGGCCAGGGAGATGGCTCAGTAGAATAAGTGCTTGCCTGGCAAGTGCAAGGGTCTGAGTTCAATCCCTGGTTGGGGGAGGGGGAAGTACAGGGGAGAAAAAAAAAAAAAACCATGAAACTGATTAGAGTAAGTGCTTGCCTGAGAAGCGTAAGTTCCTGAGTTAATCCCTGGTACTGCTAAAAAAAAAAAAAAAAAAAGATTTCCTCATGACTAGGATCATCCATACTAAGGAAAACAGTAAGTACTCTGTTTCATGGGCTGATTCTACCATTGCAGTCCACCCACCAGGAGAGCCTATGTACAGACCTGCCTGGAAGCAGCAGCAGTGCACCTTGGTCAGGCTCCTCCATGGTGTCCAGGCACTCAGAGGGCACAGCTGAGCCCTCCGCACTGTCGGCGTCCCCCTCAGGATGCAGTTCAGGGTGCACCAGGGTGCTGGTGTCCTCATCAGTGAAGGTCTCACACTCACTGTAGGTGCTCTCAGAGCCCATATATGCACTGTCTGTCACCTCAGTGGCCTAGGGGAAAGAACCAACAGTTAGCTGGGGCAGCCATGAAGGCCATACTGTGGAGGTGATAAGGCAGTAAGTCCCAGCAACATCTCCAAACAGAAGTGCTAGCTTGTAAAACAGGATTCATGGGGATATTTTTGATTATATTTTGTATTGTTGAGACAGGGTCTTGGTATATTGACCAAGCCAGCCTCAAATCTGTAGTAATCCACCTACTTCACTCACAGAGGTGTTGGGAATACAGGCATGTACTACTACACCCGGTCCAACTATTTTTTAAAATGAAAAACAGGCACATGTCCAAGAGCAGACAGAAATACCTGGCGTCATTTTTTTTTCTTTCTTGTTTTTTTGGGTTTTTTAGGTATTTGGTACAGGGACTCACGACACAGCTCTGACTCATAATGATCCACCCGTTTCCAGCCTTGCCAGTACTGGGATTACAGCTATGTGCCACCACGGACCCAGTCTCTATGGCTAGCTCAGCACACCTGGGGTCCAGCGTGGCACATGCCAGGGATTAAACTCTGGTCCCTGTGCTTGCCTAAGCAGGTGGTTAGTCTGCTGAGCTATCTGCACATTAGAGACTGAGGCAAAAGGATCACTATGAGTTCAATGCCAGCCTGGGCTACATAGTGAATTCAAGGCTCACCTGAAGTACAGAGTAAGACTGTGTCTAAAAAAAAAAAAAAAAAAATTCATCAACTAATTATCTGCCTAAATTTGTTGATTAGTTAAATGTTTACCTGTCCAATCTATTTTTACTTTATGTACCCAACACCTACCACTGCCTGGTATATGGTGGGCAGTAACATTTGTAGATCAAATAAACGTAAAACTAAAGAATCATAAGATTAGGGCCAAGGGACATAGCTCGGAAGTACAGTGCCTACTTGACAAGTGTGAGGTCCTGAGTTCAATTCCCAGTACTGAGAAAAAAAAAAAAAAAGAATCAATTAGACTGTTTTCAATATATGTTAGTATTCATTAAAATGAAGTTGCACGTTAGACACTGCCCCATTTCATGTTGAGAAGATCTGAGGTTAATGATTTGCAAATAAAATTTTAGAAAAGCTGCAGTTGCAGCAGGAAAAAGATGCCTTTTACATGCTGAGTCTGGAATCACTAAGAGTGTTGAGCACAGGGGCTCCCAGAGGACTCCATAGGTGCGTCTAAGCCACTGAGCCTCATTTGAGGAGTCTTAGAGCTAGCTATGTGCTGGACGGGAAGTCCCACCTCCATCTTTGTCTACTACTGAAAGTACATGACCTCAGACACATGACTCAACCCTGGAGCCTCTTCTGTAAACTGGACTATAGATAATAATCTCACCAGGCATCCACCGTAAGACATCAAGATGACACAACCAGGTGCTCTGCAAAGTATTAAAAATGAGACTGCAGGTTGCTGCCCTGTCTCTGGAGATGGAAACCATGCCACTGTTACAAAGCCAGAGTAGGACAGAGAGTACAAACTATATGCTCACTGCAGGTGTCTAGCTGGTCATCACGTTTCTCAGGGAAAAATCCAATCCTTCCCAGAGTCTATGGAAGTAATTCATAAAAACTAATCCATAGGACTGCTATCCACTTCAGAATCCAGAACCAGAGTCACTAGGGTGGCAGATCCAATTTTATACATCACCAGGAGTAATTCTCCCTCCAGAGTAAGGCCAACCAGGACCAGCACCTTATACCCCCACCATCCTGGGTAAGGCTGGCTCAGCAGACTGTTGGTGTTAGGTGAGAAGCTGCTAATCACCATGACAGAACGTTTATTCACAGGGGATTTACACTGGCAGATCAGTTATAAGCTCCCCACAGCCTTCTAAGAAGCCTGATTATTAACCACCAGAGACCAGATTATGTTCTTCAGTATTTAGCTGGAACTTCTAAAAACATTGCTCATCACAAGGATGGCCCCACCATCCTCATGGGACTTACAACCAGGCATTCACTGCTTAACAAGGGAAATAGGGAAGCCTTACCACCAGGTCTGATGTGGCCAACACTGATGGGGCACCACTCTGCCAAAGACCCTGACAGAGGGTTGCCTATAAGCAACAGAATTTGACCTTTGAGTGAGACTTTCGGAGGAAATTTTTTTCTTGATTTTTGTGGTGGCAGTGGTGAAGACTGAGGTATATGGGCCCCAAGCACAGAGGGCAAGTGCTCTCCAACTAAGTCACACCCCCAGTTTGAAGCAGGTTTTTAAAAAGTCAACTGGGCTTCCAACAGGCATCAGGGCCACATGGACCTGGGTTTCCCAAGTGGCAGCTCAAGTGTCTGTTTGTTTTAATCAGCAAACCAGTGCTTTCTCTCCCTCAAATGTAGTTCACATACTGCAAGTTTCTTCTCCCAGGAAGGTGAAGAGATCTGATGCTTGAGTCAGCTCATATCACAGAGCTCTTGTCTTGCCCACATAGGTGGAGGCACAGAACTTTAGTCCAGCCCTCCCTAAGGCCTAGTCTCATGTACAATTACTGCTGCTGAATGGTGGGGCAAATGCACAACTCTGGGTCTACAGGCTCCCTGTGTGTGGAGCAGGGTGCCTGCCAAGCCCGGCACTCACATGCTCTATCTAGGCAGCTTGTCTGTTCCGTACCTCTCCCACCCCCATTTCTAAAATGAAGGATTCCTCCAGGTGTGATGCTGCATGTCTGTAACCCCAGCACTCAGGAGGCTGAGGCAGGAGGGTCATCACATTCAAGGCCAGCCTGAGCTACACAGGAGGACCTTGTCTTTTTATTTAAAAAAAAAAAAAAAAAAAGCTCATTATAAACATATCTTTTGAGGGTTTTTTGGCTTTGGGGAGAGAACTGGGAACCAAACTCAGGACCATGCACTTACCAGGCAGGCACTGTACCGCTGAACTATATCCCTGGCTGCAGAAACACATCTTTTGTTTTATTGTTTTTGAGATAGGGTCTCACTGTGTAGTTTAGGCTGGCCTTGAACTCACAGTGATCCTCCTGCCTCAAACTTCTAAACTCTAGGATTACAGGGAGTATGAGGACTGTATGCATGTATCACAACATCCAGCCAAGAAACATATCTTTTAAAAGACTGACCTGTGCATATTTTAAATCTTTAAGATGATGTAATGAAATTATCCAAATATGTAGCTTTTAACACATTTTATCAACTCAGGATGCTAAATGTATTATATCACTTTATAAAGTACACATTTACTTAAGAAATTGATTTTATTTCATATTTAATTCTACTATGTTTTCCTTAACTTTCATTCAAAATCTGTGTATTTGTATAGGAAACAATCTAAACTCAAGATACAATGATATACTCCCTGGAGGACACTTAAGATTTTTAAAAATAATACAATTAGCTACAAGTAATGAAACGTTAGGTGTAAAAATATATGACAAAATAAAAAATAAGATCAATTATACTAAGCTGAAAAATAAGTACCTCCTTTCACTTACCCATTTCTCTCTAGAAGAATTATATGCCAGTTTTGTTGCCAAAATCCTGTTTTCTAGCTCATGTGAAAACTGTTTGCTTTGATTTATAAACGAATATGACTATGACTAAACTGAGGAGAAGAATGAAACCAAACATGTAACATTTTTAATGATTTCCACCTATATAACTTGTTAAAACTATAGAACACCAAAAAATGAAATAATATTCACTTATAACAAGAATCAGGAAGTTCTTTGTTATGATATAGAAATCTCTAAAGATTATATTCTTTCATGAAAACAGTAAGGCACAGAAGAGAATAAAAATGCCATCTTTTATGTAAGTTAGAAATAAAATTAAGTATTCATATTTTCTTACATTAACATAAAGAAATACTAAAATATGTAAGAAACCAGCAAAATGGATACATATAGGGGAAAAGATGGAAATATTTTATATTGTTTTTATTTTTTAACATGAATAATAATTTTTTTTAAAGTCCCACTTGGTAGAAATAAAAAAGTTAGAATACCATGATCACTCCAAAAATACATAAAATGTTCAAATGAGAAGTGGGAAGAACTGTTCCTGAGCCTCACTGTAAATCAGAAGAGGTGTGCTTTTATTAAAACATAGATGGGAGGTGTTGAGCTATAAAATAAACTCTCAATGACTTGTAAATCTTCTACATTCTATATTCTTATAACTTCTGTTTGGTGACATAAATGCTTCCAGTAACAGCAGAAAGAACATGACACTAGCAATTAAGACATAAGATTCTAAAGTCCCACTTCTGTTCTTAGCTGGTTGTTTGACTTTACACAGTAACTTTCCAAAGCTTCTTCTCACTGTCAGTAAAGGACATGAAGAAATGATTTGCATGGTGCTAGGGTTTGTTCTGTTTTATTTTTTTGTACTGAGAATTGAATCCAGGGCCTTTGAACCAAATTACATTACAGGACCTTCTTCAATTTTTTATTTTTCACAGGCTCCCTCCTCTTGCTTCAATTTTTATTTTGAGGTAGCATCTCAACTTGCCCACCTTTGGCTTGAATTTGTATTTCTCCTGCCTCAGACTCATGAAGTGCTACAATTATAAGGATGTGCCACTACACTAGGTTAGATTCTACTATTCTTAAATTACCTGCTGTGTATTTGGCTTTTCAAAACAGATTGCTATCACAAGGTTCCCACTGCAGATATTCTGGCCCTCAGATTAAAGCTTTATAGAGCTGGGGTAGAGCTCAGTAGTGGAGCATTTACCTGGCATGCAAACACAAGTTTTATAAAGAGTTAAGGGTAAGGGAAAGAAATTTTAATTTTGTATGTATGAACTTGGTGGTAATCAACGAGAGGTACCAAGAAATGTAGAAGTTATTAAAAGCAATCAAGGAGGATGGAAGCATAGCTCAGTGGTACAGTACCTTGTCTAGCATGTGTTAGGCACTGTGTTCAATCCACAGCATTACAAATAAAAGCAATCAATATGCAAGACAGATCAGATTTTTCTCTCTACTCTTAGAATGCTTGAAATTTTCCAAACAAAAGACTGAACAATGCAGATTGGAGATACATATGCTATCAACTTCTAAAATCTTTACCAATCAAGTTAAATGAATTCACAAGAAAACTAACATGCATCTTAGAAAACAGTGTGTTAAGGTTATATTCACAAAAAAAAAAAAAAAAAAAAAAGGTTATATTCACCAATTAACACAGGATATCAAGTAGGCCCACCACTGCCCAGTAGTACCCACTGTCCAGGTCATGGTGCCTTTTTTGCTTTGCTTTGTTTTGCTTTTTCTTTTTTCTCTCTTTCCCCCTTTCCTTCATAGACCAGGAATTGAATCCATAGCCTTTGCACTAAGCTACATCCCCAGGCCTTTAAAAAACATGTTTTTTTGAAACAAGATCTCAAAAAATTGCTCAGGCTAGGTGTGGTGGCACAGCCATAATTCCAGCACTTGGGAGGCTGAGACAGAAAGAAGGATCTTTGTGAGTTTGGGGCCTCCTGGGTTACATAGTGAGTTCAAAACCAGCTTGAACTGCATAATGGACACTATCTCAAAAAAAAAAAAAAGTTGCCCAGGATGGGCTCAAATTTGAAAATTTCCTGCCTCAGTTTACCAAGAGTGCTGGGATTATAGCCATATGCCACTATGCCAAGGTCATTTCCTCTTGAAACAGTTTTATACACAGTTCACACTAGTGTCTCTTCTTACCCTCAGTGCTCCTTGGGGGTCTCACAGGCCGGCTCTGCACAGCAGCTCCAGGATGGGTCCACTGCTGGAAACAGCCAACCCACCCTATCTCTGTCCAGACCAAGTCACTGGCTTCTCTTAACTGACAGCATCATTACCTTTTGCTAGCTGGACTGAGGTTTCTCCAAAACTGTGGCCCACCAAAAAGCACCTCAGCCTTAGAAAAAATTTAACCTGCTCCCAGACATGCTCTACTACACCTCCCACTGGGAGGGAAAGCTGGTCAGGGAAAGAGAAGCAAAGTTCAGGAAATGTCCTTGGGACTTTTAACAAACAAAGCTCAAAACACAGTGGCTTTTGTTTTATACTTTGTAACTTTCAGGTTTGTACAAGATACATTTTCTATCATTTCAATAAGGCAGCCTTTTCTCCCAGCCTAGCACATGAGGAGGAGGAAGGACACACAGCAAATCCATGTTGCTCTCTGCCTTGCGCTCCAGAGCTGCAGATAAAGGGCTCTGCCCCATATACTCACCTTTCCTCTTCCTCTCAGATTATTATTATTATTTTTTAATGTATCAGTTATTTAATTAGGTTCTTAGTAAGAAATTTAGAACACTAATTTATGAGGATAAATTCCATTTGTCAAAGCAAAAACGGATTACAGGTAGCCCCAGAGTTGAGGAACAGCTTTGATTTTTGCTAAAATCTGTGAGTCCACCACTTTCTTATTCACCTTGTGCTGTTTTGAAATCTGGTATCTCTCTTTCTTGGTGTTGAAGATCTTACCCTCCTGTTGTCTGGGTTTCCGCAGCTGCTGCTTCTTGAAGTAAGCATCAGTGAGGTTTTTGGAGATTTTCACTTTGCTGACATCAATTTTTGTAGAGGCGGCAATGACAAATTTCTTGTGTGTTCTTCATAGTAAGGTTAAGAGGCCCAGTCACAAGTAGCAAGCCACTGGCCAACTGCTTCAGGAAGACCACTCTCTTGCCTCTGTGATGCCCGGTGAGGATGATCAAGATGGTGCCAGGAGTGATGCTAGCTCAAAGTTTTCTCACATGCTGACTGAAGGGTTTCTTGCTGTGGCTCAAGAGCTTTTGGGGCACATCTTCAGTAGGGTAGTATCTAGGCATTTTTCGAAGCTTAACCACCTAGGTACCTCCATTCTTGTCCCCACTGGATGGTTTTGTGATTGTAGCAAGAACATTCTCCCTTTTTTTCCTCAATCTTTGACTTAGCAGCTGTGTACTTTTTCTTATACAAAGCCTTTCTGGAATACATAGCAGATCATGAGTATCTACCAATTCCTCTAATCAGGACAGGATTTCGGCTGTAGTGGGGCTGCCCTTTCTTGGACTTTTTTGCCTTCACCTTCCCCTTTTTACCAGTACCACTGGCAGCAGCCTTCTTGGCTTCAGGTTTCTTCTCTTTAGAGTCTGGCTTCTCAGGGTTTTTTTGCCTGCCATCTTGTAAGATGGAAAAGAGCTCTCAGATTCTTAAGAAAGCCTGTGGCAAATCTTAAACTAGCCCCCAGTTCTTCCCCATCTAACCTGAGACACATCAGCAACCATTTCCTGTGACAAGTCAAACTCCAGGAGTCCTCAGAGTGGTACGAGTCAGGACACCCCTTGCAAGAAACTGCAGCTCATTGGTAATTAAACCCACATGAACTCCAGATCCACAAAGCACCTGAAGTGTTCCCAGACAGAAAATAGGGATCTGACCAAAAAAGTAAAAAGAAAAGGCTAATTTATCTTTGAGAATTATTGGTGGATGGGCTCTGAGAAGGTTTTTATGGCTGGCTCAGGCTGCTTTAAGGGTGGGTCTGGTAAGGCATGGGCAGCTGGGAATTGAACCGTAGTCCTCTGGGCCTGACTGGGTTTGCCCCAGCAGATACTTAAACAACTGAGCTAACTTGCAGTCCCCTTGGGCTCTCAATATATCTGAATGTAGTTTATGTTCTCCACTCACAGAAGTGTGTTAGACCTTTTAAGATTACATGATGTATGGGGCTGGTGAGATGGCTCAGTGGTCTAAAGCA